ATATTTGTAAGCAGAAAGTATGTCAAGTCATTTTGATAAATCTAATATTCTTTCGAGCTTCTCTCTCATATCTTCATAAATTCTTTTTCTCAAAAGTATTTGAATTTCTCTTCATTACTTGTTTGAAGAACATTATTTCTTTTTCGTTGATAGCACTACCAATTGACCTTATCGAATTTCTTTGCATTGCCTGAAATCTAAGAAATAATCATTGGAGTGTATTGGATCTGAGCGCAGGAAATATGCATAAGGCATTACTGCTAGTACAAATTGTAACGAATTACTGAAACATTCGCTTGTCAGAAGTAAGCTTACTCTGCGATATGCAATTATTTTGATCAAAGTAATGAAATCGATGAATGCCATAGCTACTGCCAAAATTACTGATACTATAGCATCAGTTCTGGCACATATTTGACCATGGAATGAGGTATGATGCAACCAACGATACGTCGAACCATAATTAAATAGAAGTGAACAGTTTTCTGCAAACAATTACCGTAAGAAACGACTGATTTCTGCATGCTGCAAATTCTGCGTGAACGTTTTCTTCTCACAAGCAAAAGATATCACCAGATCATCTGAGTTGAATAGGGTATGTAGCTTATTAACAGACTTACTATATAAGTGATGAGTGCAATAGACCATTGAAAATGTCCAAGAGATGATTATAATTTTGAAAGTCCTGGACTGCGACCATAACTGATTGTATTTTGTCGCATATACGAAAGCATAAAATCTATTGAGGGCTGTGAGGAAGTGCATAACAAGTGCTCCAAACCATCCTCCGTTCAAAAAAACGCCAACCAATCGTACGGTAAACAGTTTCGGTGATGATAGTATTGGAGATTTGCTGAAATTAAATTTTTCGAATAAAACAATAAATGAAAGGAAGTTTTTGGAAAAAAAAGACAAAAAGCAAAAAATTTTCCGCAATGCAAGTGAAACTTACGTGCTCAGGACAATGGTACACCAAGTGATGTGTACAAATATGGCTTGCAAGTTGCATATCAGGAAACTGCTGCATAAGATTCCAAACGCATTACGGAAACGTGGCCTCGTACGTGTAATATACAGTGACGTACCATTGCTGATCAATCCGAAGATCGATATCTATGGTGCATTGTTGTGGATTTAATTGATTTTTTTTCATTTTTTTAGTATAATGAGAAGTTATGCGGAATTATGCATCAACAAGGGCCGTTATCCTCGGATGAAGATTTTCTCCTTCATTGAAAATACTGCCATCATTATTAATGTTTGGTTAAAACAAGGAGACAGAGGGTAAGTTGCTCCTAACTTGTCATGCCTCAGATCCAGATCCATTCTGGTTTGCATTTCTGTTTTTTTGTCATCACTTCAATCAATGATATTACAAAATTGTAAATGCTTTTTGTGCTTCTTT